CTCTCTCTCTCCCAGTCACCTTCAGGCCACACCCTGCTTGGTTCTCTTTCCTGCCATCTCTTCTCCCGGCCCCGGTCATGGTCTCGATCCCTCATCCTGGAGTCCCAGTGTCTTTCCCGGGATCGGGAGCGCTCCCTCCTCTCCCTCTTTCCCTCTCTGTACTGGTCGTTCTTCACAACGGGCAAATTAATGGGTTTTCGGAAAGGCCGATCCCGCCCCCCAAATCTCAGTTGCCCAGATTCCTTTTTTCCCCCCAGGCCTCCTCCAAGTCGCCGAGGAATCCACCCTTTGAGAGTTCTTTCCAGTTCGTAGTCCACAAATATCTCGTGCTGGTCGATGACCAGGCCGTCCGCGTCCCGGTAAGCTTTGAGCAGAGAACGCTCCTCTTTGTATTCAATGAAGGCGTAGCCCTTTGAAAAGCCCGTGACCAAGTCCCTCACCAGCCGAAGCCGCCGGATGTCCCCATAGCGGGAAAACACTTCCTTTAACTTCTCCTCTTTGGTCTGCAGGTTCAGTCTGGCCACAAACAGGGTGAGGAGGGGGTCTCCGGTGACGCCTCTGTTGGGGGCGTAGCGTGCCAGCATGGCCCTCCAGACCGCGCGGTCGTGTGGGTCTTCGTCGGTGCCATCGATGCTGCCAGCTTTAAGCGGGTCATACTCCTTGGCGATGGGCACCCAGTCATTCATGTTCTAAGGAGGATCACAGCGAACATTTATGTAGCACCTACTACGAGCTATGGCTTTAATCCCTGCAACAACCCTGGGAGGTAGATAGATCATTCACCTCTTCCTCCATAGGGAGGGAAGCAAATTCTCAGAGGCTGGGGCCCCCCAGCTAGAAAGCCAGGGAGACAGTATCCAAGCCGGGCAGCGGGGCTCTGGGATGCTCTTTCCCACTCCCCCACCCTCCCTCCTGGGAGGAAGCAGAGGGCAACATGCCCGAGTTCGGCGCATCCGTGTTACCCAGCTTAGGCACGGGAGGGCACGGGGCACGTACCAACTACATTATAATGGGGCAACAGGGACCGAAATCCAGACTCAAAACAGGCTCGCCTTTCAGACTTTAAAATGGTCATAGGAAAACCAGCCTGGGAACTGCCATGGAAATGGTGTTTTTTAAAATCTCTTTACTCCCAAGAATTTCAGACATATACCAATGCAGACAGTGGCATAACCCTCCCTGAATCTCCCAGCCAGTTCCAACTACGACTGACACCTGGCCAGTCTGGTTTCATCTGTGCCCCGACTCATGTCCCTGCTCCCGGATTATCCTCAAGCAAATTCTAGATATTATATTTCAGTGTGGATCACTAAAGGAAAAGAACTTTTTTAAAAATGAAACTACAAGGGAAAATGGTGTTTTGAATGCAGCATTTTGCACCTGTCAGTAAGCAGGTAGCAAAGCTAAAATGACAGTGACCCAGCCGCAGGCTTTCAGTTCACTGCAGTTGTCATTCATTCTGATATGAGAGTATTTTTTTCTGAAAGAGGGTGAGTAAATTTAAGTCTGACATGTGATAACTGATTCATGTGAATCTGCTGGAAGATCAGGTACTTGCCAACATTTCAGACACTGCTAAAAATCACGTGACCACTTCTGTAACGCTTTAGAGCCAGGGCTGAAATATTACTTAAAAACCAGGGCTCTGTTGAATAGATAGCCTCATTCTTAACAGCATCTTTCCATGACATTTATTAAAACGATATCTATACCTTCCCTCCTCTTTTTAAAATTTTCCTCAAGGGTTTTTTTGCTTTTGTTCTTCAGTTTATGGGTTATATAAGGGGAGTGATTGTTTATGGGGCACACAGTGGAATTTTTTCCTAGTAAAAAGTCAAACACCTACAGAATAAAACTGAAAATCAATGGACTCAAGACCTCTGACTTCCACTTAGCCTCTCACTATATTCCACTGCAAATCCTATTCCACCCAGAACTGCTCCTCATTCCTTGAATGGGCCCTAATTCCCCAGCTCCATGTCTTTCCTGGTGCAGCTGCGTCTGCTGAGAATATTCTCTTCCTTTCTGCCTCTTACATCTCCACTCATGGAAATTCTACTGGTCCTTCAAAGTCCAGCTTCCAGCCTCTTCCCCATGAAGCAAATCTGTTTCTCCCACAGCTCATGGTACCTCTTCTGACATACAGATCATGTTTTGCCCCATGCACAATAAACACTCTTCAATCCTGGGACAGATCCTGGGACACTTCATGATAAACGCCGGGGAGCTGAACCGACTCCAATCAAAATTCACTGAACCTTTTTTGGTCCAAAGACAAAAAGGACCACTTCATGAGAACTGAGAAACAGAACAGCATTACTCCGTCTGCTGCCAAATTGTTAAAAGGAGAGCTTATGTCTGTCATCATTAACAGGCAACTTTAGAGAAGACACCTCTCTTGTATTCTTATCAGCAAAAGGATGATAAACAGCTAGAGCAAGGGAAGGAGCCGGAGACGAGAGTGAGACAATTTTAGTCCAGTCTCAGCTCTGCCTCTCACTCACTTTGTCTTTTCTGTATCATGGGTATAATTTCTCCATGTGGGAAAAAGAGAGAGAGACCACTATGTGGTTTGGGTCTCTGCTCTGGTATCCTCTACATGGCCCTAAAATTCTTAAGATTCTAATCTTACTTCCTACCTTCACCACAAGGTTGCAGGGAAAACAAAACAAAACAAAACCCAAAGACCGTAATAATTACGGTAACTTGTATGGAACACTGAGGTGGTGTCAGGCACTGTGCTAAGCACTCAACTCCCCTCACCTCTCAACAGTACCAGGACACACATACTTCTATTACTCCCATTTCAGATGCGAGGGGTGAGCTGCAGAATGGTGGTTTTTTTAAAAAATCCCAAATCAGAGAAGTAGCCCAGACAGAGAGTTGGAACCAACAGCCTTTTTGACTCCAGAGCCTGAGCTTTTAACTATTTCCTTAGATGGCTGTCATGAAATATAAAGCTTTGGAGATGGGGTAGGAAAAAGCTGGCTAGGTCTGGGTGTTTGAGGCTGAGAGCCCCAACCAAGTGGGAAAGAAACCCTTCCCTATTCCACAGGAAAGTCACAAAGATCCACCAAATAAAACTGACATTATTGTACACAGTCGGAACTCCTCTTCAAAGCTGTAAGGGTTCTTCAAATTAAAATCTGGAAAGAACTACAAAGGGATGAAAAAAATGAATTTTGTTTTCTCCCTGATTTGAATGCTCGGATCATTACTAAATACCAAGAGAAGAGCGGGCTTCACAACTCTTCATTGATCTTTCTAGGTGTATGTCCTCCGTGGCTATGTTGAGATTTTGTACAACAATCTCTTTGGATTTTTAGATTCTCGTCATTACTTCATAAACGAGTACGAGACGTTAAAGACGAATCTCACCGGGGGGTGGGGTGGAGGGAGGTGGGGCAATTAGCGATTAGGGACAAAAGTATGGATAGTACAAAAGCACTGGATTGGGAGTCAGAACACCCAGGTTTAAGACCCAGTGATATCCTGGGCAAAATTTAAATTATCTGTAAAATGTTGCTAAATGCCACTTCGCTGCGTCTTAGGTAAGATGAGATAAGGTAGTGTCTATAATTAAAATCATGCCCCCGAAAGCTATTATTAGACAAGCAAGCAAACAAAGCACGCCTCTCCCGCGTGAGCCTGCGGAACAAGCCCGCGCTTCCCACCAGGTGGGAAACCAACTGAAGGCGGGAACACGGGGCCGCCCACGCATGCGCAGCGACGCCGCGGACGCTAAGGCGGAAGTCTCGGTGGAAAGTCTATACTCCCAGTGCGCCCACAGCACCTGCGTCTAGGCCGCCGGCCCTTGAGGCTACCTCCCCCAACCCCTCACCTTCTGGGTGGGCGCAGGATGGAAGAGGCCGTTCTACCAACCCAGCTATCGCCCCCGCTCCCCGCAACACAACCCCAAAAGGTCTCCGCCCTTGCCTGGCTTCAACATGGCGGCCCACACGAGCCGTCACACAGTCCAGGCCGAATTCCCTCGTCCTTCTCGCCAGGGTGGGCCCTGCTCCGACTAAACCGCTCTCGCTCACCTCAGCAAGGCTCGGACCTCCTTTCTCACGGGGACTGGTGCCGAGCTCCAAGCGACGGAAGACTCTTCCTGCCTACCTGGCCGGACCTTTACATTGGAAGCAGCAGATTCGTCACGGCCCTCTTTCCGTTTTTGCTTTTAAGAAATTCAGTCACATGCGTTGAGCGTCGAAGTCGTATCGTCTCCGAAGAGAATGAAATTTCTGTTTTTCTGAAAATTTTCACGAAGACAACAACTGCTAAATTGAACAATTAAGAGAGTTGAGAGACTATCGAAAGTGCAGCTGGTTGGCTGGGAGCCGCAGCATCTCTCTCGGTCGCGAAGGGATCTTTCAGCGCAGTGAGAGTTTTGGTTCTCAGACTCACTTTGAGATTCTGATTCTTTTATGTTTTTTTCCCTCCGAAAGTGCGTGTGCCGGTTCAGTGAAACTCTTTACGTATGTTATCCCAGAGTTTTTCTAACCCCTAAATTTAACAAATTCGCTTTCCACACAAGCAAAATAGTTCTT